GGGGGCACCGGGGACGCGGGGCGCAGACGCAGAGGGGGTTCCCCGAGCGCTCTGCTCACTGCCTCTCTGCGGCCAACGTGCAGGCCAAGGGGCGGCCGCGTTAGCGACACCGACCTGGATCCAGGAGTTGCCGCCGTCTGTGCTCCAGGCGTTGACGGAGCCCGACTGGTCCAAGCGGGCCAGCCGCGGTGCCCATTGCTCTGCGGGGAAGCACACGAGGGAGGTGCCCGTGGGTTAGCGACACCGACCTGGATCCAGGAGTTGCCGCCGTCTGTGCTCCAGGCGTTGACGGAGCCCGACTGGTCCAAGCGGGCCAGCCGCGGTGCCCATTGCTCTGCGGGGAAGCACACGAGGGAGGTGCCCGTGGGCTGCCTGCCAGACCTGGGACCGCAGCCGCGTGGGAAGGGCAGGGGCCAGAGAGCTCGGCACTCCCAGATGTGGGCTCGGTTGCAGACCGGGGCTCGTGCGCTGTCTGGGGCCCATCCCAGGCGCAGACAGGGCCGCTCTGGGAGCTGGGGGAGGGGAGGGCTGCTCTGGCTGCCAGAAGGGGTTGCTGGGCACTGCAGGCAGGGAGAGCTGCTCTGCACCCAAAGTGCTGATCACCTGCCTGCTGCAGACGCCCCGTCTCCCTGTGCGCGGTGGAGCCCTCTGGGCCTGGCTGGACAATCGCCCGCTCGGCTCCAGGGTGCAGGTGAAATCCCCAGCAGCGTGTGCAGGGCTCCAGGAACCCAGAAAAGGTGAGAAGCCCCGGGAAAGGGGCCAGCAAAGGGGTTCTGGAGCTGGGTGGAAGGAGGGCACCTGGCGGGGAGGGGGAGCCGCTCCAGGAAAAGGCCTTGTCTCTCTGGCTGGTGGAGGAGTCAGGCCTGGCCCACACGTGTTGGCTGAGCCCTGGCCCTTCCCCGGTCATCACTAGCCCAGCACTCACCGTACTGGCCTGACGCTGTGATCTGAGAGTCGGCGATGTTCCCGGAGGCCAGGCCCAGCGGGATCTGACACTCTGCAGCCGAGGGAAGAGGAGAGACGGTGAATGGGGCTGGTGTTGCCCTTTGGCGCCCGAGGCTTTCGTCCCGGACACCGAGTCCCGTGTGTGGCTCAGCACAGCGTGTACGCTAAGCCTGGGCGCCGCCCCAGGGCCGGTGACCTCTGGACGCCAGTGAGGGCACCGCAGGGGGCAGGGCCAATCGCCCGGGAGGCAGCCAGGCGGGCATGTGGGAGCTCTGGCTGTGCGGGAAGGGCATGCCAGCAGCACAGCTGGCAGCTCACTGGGCACCAGCCAGCGTGGGCAGCACAACCCAAGCACCAGGCAGCTTGTCTGGGCCTGGCCCTCTGGTGTTCTACCCTGGGCCTGGAATTGCTGCTGGTGCTGGGCTCTGGGTGTCTTGTAAAGACAAATCTTCATATACAGGTCTCAGCAGCACCCCCTGGCTTCACGTCCTTTGCTGATCTGCAGAGCACGGGCATGTTTATTTCCATGACAACCTGGACTTTAAAACACCAGAGAGCTGCCCCTTGTGCTCTGCAGGGCTGGGGCAGTGGATCTTGCACAGCTTTCTAATGTGTCTTCAAACAAAGATTTTTGGGCACACATGCAATGCGTCCTTAAGAAAGGAAAGGGACCGTTCCTTTGTCAGACCAAGTGCCTGTGTCTTGGCAGGGGCTGGGTAGGAGCAGCAGGGTCCCTCCTAGCCCAAGGAGTCTATGATCTACGAAGTGTAACAAACCGACCCTTTCCTTCAGTTGCAAAGCTAGGATTTGAATGAGGTGGAAGCTGATTTGCACTTGAGCGGACAGACTGGGCTGCAGTTCCCAATCCACGTTTCGCACCACTTCACATGGTACATAGCATGGCTGAACATGCCAGCCCCTGTGAGGCTATGTCTGCACTACAAGGAACCGTCGGAAAAAGGGACGCAAACTGTGCTCCGCAATTTGCATACCTTTTCCCGATAGTTTTTTCAGAAGTGACTTTTTCGAAATTTGGTCCGTCTACAGTTGGCCAAATTTCAGAAAAGCCTCCTCTTTTGGAAGAGCCCTTCTTCCTTGTGGAAGGAGAAAGACAGGGCTTCCGAAAGAGCGTGCCTGCTCGTCTGCAAAAAAAGCAGAAGAGCAGACGCGTTCCCTGGACGCAGCAGAGTTTTTAACAGGATATCTCCCGGAAAATCCCCGTAGCGCAGACAAAGCGTGGCTCTTCGTGACTCAGTTTGCCTATCTACAGAGGGGTATTTCCCAGTTCAGGGAGCCAGCTGGACTGGCACATGCGTTTGCGGTGACAAGCACACTCACATTTCTGCTCTTTTCATGTTGTACTCTCACTAACATGGCGTGTTGCCTTTTCCCCTGGACAAGAGCCCGTGCGCTTCTTCTAAGCAGAACACGTGGCCCATGGCTTCTTAGGGTTTGAAAATCAAGTTGCTGGGAGCAAATCTGTACGGGTGGTTTACGCTGGCCTCCAGCTTTGCACCCATAATCACATGCTCCTCCCGCCCCCCGGCTGGGGATGTAGTTCACTGCAGGCTGGCCCCTATCCTGCTGTCCCTCCTGCAGGCTCGCTCGGGCAGGCGATCAGTCGCCCACAGCTGACTGAGGGGGAAACGCTGCCACCCTGAGGGGCACGAGGGTCCCATTTTCAGAAGCGCCTAAGTGGCCGGAGGAGCGTGAGCCCTGCTCTCCAGCAGGCTCGCCCGGGTGCGTCTCTCCCCAGCTGGCTCACAGGGAATTCTCGGCAGGGGGCAAGACGAGCTACTCACTCGGGTCATACACAAGGAACAAGGCGCTCATTCCGGCCTGCTGGTGCTCTCCAACCTCGCTCTCCACCCGCCAGATCCCCGGGTGGGCGGGCCGCATTTCCACCGTCCCAAAGACACCTGGCTCACAAGAAGGGGAGGGGGGCAGAGTTAGGGTTAGTTCTTTCAGCCACGGCTCCGCCCGCCCTGGTGCCAGCTGCATGGGAGTAAAGTGCTGCCGGGGGTCCGGGTGCCAGGCAGCTTCCCAGTGACACCTGGGCCCACAGGCCCTGGAGTAACTGCCCAAAGCCAGGGCAGGGAATGAGTGTGGCCCAATCGATGCACTTGAGTTTGCTATGTAATAATAATTAAGCAAATCTGCATAGCCTGTGACTCGCACCTGGGAGCAGGGGCTGGAAGGGGAGGGCCAGTGGGCCACAGCCCCAAAGGTGAGCAATGGGGGGAGGGTCTGGGGGAAGAGGTGGTGTGAGGGCTGGGGCTCACAGGGAAAGGGGAGTGCGGGGGCAGGGCTTGTAGCAGGGTAGTGGGGGCAGGGCCAGGGCATGGTGCAGCACAGGGGAGGGGCCATGGTTTGGGTGCTGTGCCCCCCTTTTAGGCACTTCCACACTCCTGCTCTGGGGCCCTAGCCATTGACATGGAGCTCGCTGCACAAAGTGTTGGGAAACCGGAACAAGGCATCAGCAGCTAATGGCCCTTGGGCCCACACTCAGGGGCTGGCTCCCGCCAGTTTCCCAGGCTGAGGCTCGTGTCTCCTACTCAGAGCGGGGCGGCTGGCCTGCTGGCTCCTGCCTCAGGCCCCTCCCGGAGAGTGGCTCACTCCAGCGCCCGGGCGGCTTGTACCGGGGTAGAGGTTGTAGACTCCCATTTGGTACTCGTGGTTCGTCCTGACAGAGAAGAGCTGCCCGTGGAAATGGACCGCGTGGATGTCCTCCGTGCTGCCCATGTTGAGCAGGTGCCAGCGCACCCTCTGGTGCTGAGCCACCACCAGCCCGGGCAGCGAGTCCTGCATGTAGCCGTTGATAGCTGCGGGAGAAGAGTGAGCGTGGCCCGGGCTGTGGCAGTGAGAGGTTCCCAGGGGTTCGTCCTGACAGAGAAGAGCTGCCCGTGGAAATGGACCGCGTGGATGTCCTCCGTGCTGCCCATGTTGAGCAGGTGCCAGCGCACCCTCTGGTGCTGAGCCACCACCAGCCCGGGCAGCGAGTCCTGCATGTAGCCGTTGATAGCTGCGGGAGAAGAGTGAGCGTGGCCCGGGCTGTGGCAGTGAGAGGTTCCCAGGGGAGTGCTGAGGTCCTCTTGCTCTCACCCAGTGGGTGGGCAAGGAAGAGGATGCAGGAGCTGGTCCCGCTGCGCTAGGGGCAGGCAGGGCAGGGGCTGGTGTTCTTACCCGGAAAGCGGCTTCTCTGTCTAAAATGAGGGTCGTGCAGCTGGGTCCGGCAGAGGGGCGGGCAGTTCCTCTGCACGTTCTCGGCGAGGTACCAGCTTTTGGTCTCATCGAAGATTGTGAAGAGCAGCGAGAACTCCTGCACGGCCAGCTGCCTCCCAAAGGCAGGGCTCAGGATGCCGGAGCGGCAGATAAGCAACGGCCCGACCAGGCCAGAGTGCAGGTCCTTCTCCTGGGAGGGGGCACAGCCAGAGTGTGAGGGCCACGCCGAACCTCCACCCATCCCCAGTGCCACCAGCTTTTGGTCTCATCGAAGATTGTGAAGAGCAGCGAGAACTCCTGCACGGCCAGCTGCCTCCCAAAGGCAGGGCTCAGGATGCCGGAGCGGCAGATAAGCAACGGCCCGACCAGGCCAGAGTGCAGGTCCTTCTCCTGGGAGGGGGCACAGCCAGAGTGTGAGGGCCACGCCGAACCTCCACCCATCCCCAGTGCCGGCAGAGCGAGCTCCCCCCCCGGGCCCAGCCACGACCCCAGGAGCAGGGGCGGCCTCAGATGGGCAGGTGGGGGGGCTGGCTCTGAACGCCCCCAACTCACAGCTGGAAGCAGAGCAATGGAGCGGAGCTCAGCACCGCTGTGGGGGAAACCCAGCGCAGGAACCTCCCTCTAGGACACCTGGAGCCCTTTGATGCTCGTTCCAGCTGTGACTCACTGGCTCCCCTCTCCAGCTCCGCTGCTGGCCCAGCCCAGCCCCAGCTGCCTCTCCTGAGACGCTCCGGGCAATGGCCCCACGTGGCCCAGAGATACCCTGCGCAGGAGAGTCCCTGGGGCCGAGGCAAGGGGCTGGCATTCTGGCTGAGCACGGCTAGCGGAGAGCCCCGGTGTCTCCTGCCGGGCTCCCACCTACCTGGTTAACGCTGGAGAAGTAAGCCCAGGCCTTGCAGTCAAACTCATTGTCAGCAGGTGCCATCTGGGGCAGCACCTTCCAGGAGTACTCGCGGAGCTCGCCGGGCGGCACTGCCTGCTGGCTGGGCCTGCTGTCGCCCCCCGGGCCATCTTGGTCGGGCAGGAGGTTGAAGTGGAAGGAGTAAGGCCGGGAAGCCAGGTTCTTGAAGCTCACCTGCACCGGGGGGGTGGGCAGACGCAGGGCCCTGCCCACTGCCCCGCCCTGGTGGGACACTGGCCCTGCCCCAGCCAGACCCAGCCTCCGTCCTCTCGCTGCGCAGCAAGGGCAGGGTGGCCGGGTCTGAACCACACGGTCCGGTATTTGGGGGCTCTGTCCGGGAAACAACCTGAGAAAATACCAGACATAAAATGTCCGGTCTGTGCTAATTAGGCACCTTTATCATTATGAGGAGCATCAGGACGTAGTTACGAACTGCCTGGCTGGCAGACACGCTCACACTGCATGAGTGCGTCTACCAGCCAGGCAGTATGCAGCTATGCAGTAGAAGGGAGTGGGGAGGAGGCGGGGCTGAGGCATGATGGAATCCCCGGAGCCGGACTCGCTCGCACGCCCCACCAGGACAATGCGCGGGACAGCAGCACCCCAGGATCTGCGGGC